TCTTTGGGCTCGTTGACAGATCGAGGGTGCTGGGGGGTGTGGGGACTTGGGGGTTGCCCCAGTGCAAGGTGGGCTCAGCCTGGTCTGTGCTGAGATCCCTCTGAACAGCGTTGCAAGGCTGGGTGGGAGAGTTGGGGCTGGCAGTGGTGCATGACAAAGGAAAGGTTTGGAGAAGGGGAATTTTTAGTGCCTGTTGGGTCTTTTCCTTTGGCTGCTGGAGCAGTGGGGGGCGCAGGGGTGCGTGGGGGGGATGAAGGTGCTGTGCTCTAAAGCTCATGGTGGGCAGCCACAGGGCTGGGAGGGAGGGAACATGTCCAGGGGTGCTGCTGGGCAGCAGGGACACAGAGTGAGAGCTGTGGAACAGCCTGGCTGGCAGCAGCACTGGGAAAGAAATTACTCCTTGGCATTCCCTCTCCTGCCTGTGCAGCCTCGGTTCCTTCAAATTACATGTTATGTTCCCAAGTGAGTCTGTCACTGGCTCAGTCTTTGGGCCCCAGGAGCATTTCTAGTGCAGAGTGGGGTCCTGGTTGTCCCCTGGGGGGGACTCCCAGAGGCTGATGCCCTCTCACCCCAGGTGTGCAACAGACCACAACTCGGACAACACTACGGCGATGCTGCAGGAGTGGCTGGGGGCGGTGGGGAAGGACTATCATTCCGTGGCCTGGAAGGTGCAGGAGGAGCCCAGGTGAGGCTGGGGAAGTACTGGGGGGCAGGGGTGGGCTGTGAGGGGCTCCCAGAGCAGCACCCAACTCCCTAGCTGGGGACACTGCCAGGAGGAGTGAGGCAGAACAGACTGACTCAGCCAGTCGGCACGCATGGCCTGCACCGAGTTTGTGCGTTCCCAGTGAGTGGGGTTAACCCCTGCCTCCCCCTGCACAGCTCCTACCCCGACGAGCTAGGGCCCAAGCACTGGAGTGACAAACGCTACGAAAACCTGATGAGGCTGAAGCAGGAGGCTCTCACCTACGCCCGGGAGCAGCAGGCAGACTACATCCTGGTAAGGGACATGTGGCACTGGTGGGGTGGGGGCTCAGGTGGGGTGTCCTCATGCCTTCCAGAACCTGTGCTGTCCCCACAGTTTATGGACACCGACAGCATCCTGACCAACAACCAGACCCTCAAGTTTCTCATAGCACAGAACAAGACAGTGGTGGCCCCCATGCTGGACTCACAGACCTTCTACTCCAATTTCTGGTGTGGCATCACGCCCCAGGTACGTCCCCAGAAAGCCCCTGGGAATGAGACAACCCCAATGGCAGAAGAGCCCTCTCCATGGAGGTGTCATGCTGGTGTGCCATAGGGGTACTACCGCCGGACAGCTGACTACTTCCCCACCAAGAACCGGCAGCGGGTGGGCTGCTTCTCCGTCCCCATGGTCTATGCCACCTTCCTGATAGACCTGCGGAAGGAGGAGACGTCGCGGTTGGCTTTCTATCCACCCCATCCCAACTACACCTGGGCCTTCGACGACATCATCGTCTTCGCCTACTCCTGCCAGGCTGCTGGTGAGGGTGACAGGGGCATGGGGGGTGCAGGGGTTTGGGGGGCTGTGGTGTTCACCTGTCCCACCTGGCAGGAGTGGAAGTTCATGTGTGCAACCAGCACCGCTTTGGTTACATCAATGTCCCCGTCAAGGCCCACCAGACGCTGGAGGATGAACATGCCAACTTTGTGCATCTCACGCTCGAGGCCATGGGTGAGTGCTGCAGGTGGAGGGTTCCCAGAGGTGTCCAGATCCCAACAGGACTGTTGGCCCCAGCTCCCAGCCAGAGAGGTCTGGGCTCCACTGAAGTGGTGTCCTCTCTCCACAGTGGATGGCCCGCCCATGCAGCGCTCCAGGCACATTTCCCTCCTCCCCAGGCCGCTCACAAAAATGGGCTTTGATGAAGTAAGTGCCCAGTGGAGCCCCTCGTGTCCTCCTGTCCATCCCTCTGGTTGCATCCATCCATGGCAAAGCCTGAGCTGCTGTCCTGCATCCTGCTGGGCAGGTCCCATATTGTCCCCCCGTGACAATGTGCCCCCTTGGTGGGACTCTCCCCTTCCTCTGCAGATCTTCCTGATCAACCTGGTGCGGAGGCCGGACCGGCGCCAGCGGATGCTGACATCCCTGCAGGAGCTGGCGATCATCCCACGGGTGGTGGATGCTGTGGATGGCAGGTGACCATGGAGGGAACACTCAGCCAGCCCCGCGGTGTCTCACCCTGAGGAGGGCACAAGGGGTGGCTGGGGGGACTCCTTGCTGATGCAGTCCCTTGCCTTGCAGCACCCTCAACAGCAGTGACATCAAGGTGCTGGGGGTGGACCTGCTCCCTGGGTACTGCGATCATCCCACGGGTGGTGGATGCTGTGGATGGCAGGTGACCATGGAGGGAACACTCAGCCAGCCCCGCGGTGTCTCACCCTGAGGAGGGCACAAGGGGTGGCTGGGGGGACTCCTTGCTGATGCAGTCCCTTGCCTTGCAGCACCCTCAACAGCAGTGACATCAAGGTGCTGGGGGTGGACCTGCTCCCTGGGTACTATGATCCGTTCCCGTACACTC